ATTGGTACTATATTCTTCCCAATTTATGAATATAATTCTAATCACTGTGTTGCCTACTATTATAGTTATCTATTGCTGTACCTTAAACTACACAAAACTTAGTGCTTTAAAACATTAAATTATTTGCTCACAATGCTGCAATTAGGCAAGTTGAGGTTGGTGGTGGCTTGTCTCTGATCCACACAGTATCTGCCAGAATACCCAATATGGCTTGTCACTCTTACGGACCTTCAGCTGGGATGACTATAGCAAGCTGGGGCTAGCTATTTTGTGCTTCTAGATTGCATGTTGAAAGGGTAGGGGTAAAGGAAGAATAAACTCCATTTCTTGATGGGAAAGTTGCAAGAACGCATAAAAAAAAAGGCATATAAGATGAAAGATATTGTTGCAGTCATCTTTGAAAATGAAACACACCACAGTCCACTTAATTCACATTCCTTCTACATCCAAAATACACTCAATGTCTCCCCCAAGCCAAAATGTCATTCTATTATAGCACTGACTATAAGGCTGGGTCTAATTATTTAAATCAGGTGCAACTGCAAATGGTACTCCTTGGGTTTAGTTCCTCACATGTAGCTTCTCAGATGTACCTCCTCTGAAGCCAAAATCCCATCACCTCAAAAGATAGCTTCTCTGCCCCACTGTAGTAAGCCAGGGGTAGGACTACAATGGACACTGGGGTTCAAAAGATGAAGGGGATGAGGAGTTACACAGAAGGCACAATAAATAGTCCCACAGCTATTGTGAAATCTGCTTGGCACATGTCATCAGCAGTTTGATTAGAACAGTTATGGGGGTGCCTGGGCGGCTCAACCAGTTGAGCATCTGACTCTTAATTTCAGCTCAGGTCATGATCCCAGGGTCATTGGATCGAGCCCTCCATCATGCACTGAGAGTGGGGCCTGGTTGGGATTCTCTTTCTCCTTCTGCCCCCTCCTCCACTTGTGCGCTCTCTCTGAAAAATTAATTAAATAAAACAAACAAACAAAAAAGCACAGTTATGTTCTTTGAAAATAGTCCTTTGGGGCTCTTGACTCTGCCTTCTTTCTGGGTGGGCTCCTGGACCCATCCCCTGAGTCAGTCTTCCCATTTCATAAGAAATGGTCCATGTTTGCAACAGTGTAGTTTTCTCAGCCTGCTTCATGCCCACATAAGATTGGGATTCTCCCCACACACAAAGGCTCTTTTTAGTTGAACTATCCTTTTCCATCTACGCTGGTGGTGTTTCTATCAGCACCATTCTTGTAAAAACATTGTGAGTTTCTTATGAATTTTATTAGAATTAACTCAATTTAACAGATGCCACATCCACAGATTTCTTTGAGATAGCCAGTTCACTCCTCTGGGCTATGTCATGGTGCTGCAGGACAGTGGACTTAAAGGCCTTAGAAGCTCTTCTGGCTAGCTGAGATATTCTGAAAGGTACACCTTTTAGACTCTTTAAAGCCCTTTTGAAAGGCTCCAACAGACATTGTCTTTCTGAACTCTCAACACAGAATCTTACAGAAGCCTGATCTTGATTGGATCCTTATTCTGAGGCCATTTTTTACTAATGGCACCCTGGGATTTGAGAAGTGTTTAGATAAGTAAAGGGAAGGGAGAAGGCATTCATTCCATTCCATAGTGGAGGATACCAGGATAAATAAAAGCACAGTCTTGCGGGAGAATAGCAAAGAAAGTCATCCCGCTGGGTTCATGATGAGGGGAAACACAAAATGAAATTGTAAAGGTAGAATAAAATCAGACAAATTAAGAGTCCTGATTACCAGATTATGGAATCTGGAATTTAAGCTCTCGACGGTTTGTCCAAATGTTACTACATCAGAGACACCTGGAGAGTTTTATAAATACAGAGCCTCACCCTAGAGGAAAAAACAGCTCCCAGAGCTTCTGAAAGGCTGGAGTAGAAATCTGTATCTAAGCAAAGCTCCCAGGTGATTGATTCTCAGACACAGCCAGACTCAGAAGCCACTGCTCTAGGCAATAGTCAACTGGTGACTTTTTGAGAATGGGAGGGACATAAATGCAGTTATCTAGTGAAATTTTTGGTTATAAATCTGAATGATAAAAATAAATTACCCTTACCAAGTGCTCAGTTTCCTCACTTGTGAAACAGGGAAAATGATTTATACACCATAAGGTTCTTGCAAGCATTCTAGGAGCTAATGTATGTAAAAAATCACTTAGAGACATGAAGAGCATTAAAAGTTAGTCATTATTACTATAAGTTTCTAGAACTCTTAAGTCTTTCCATTCACAAGCTGATAATACTAAGCAAGAGTATTTGAGATATTGTAGACAAATCAAAGAGGTTTACAGAATATTTGTTAATCTCCTCCAGCAGTTTATCTTCCTCATAATCAAGAGTTAATGAATCTACCTTATTTCAAAACAAATCTGACACCTGGAAACTCTGACATGGAATTTCAGTAGGTAAACCCAAGATATTTTGCATTACACAAAGCCAATAGGTTGACTTTAATAAAAAGTATATTCAGCATGTAATTCACTCCATAAATATTAATCAGGTGCAAATCAAGATATAACTGACACTAGAGCTGCTTTAAATGCAAAAATTAGAGGTTTACATGGGTCACTAAAATAATTTCTAAATGAGATTAAGATGCTTAAGTACAGCAACAGCTGAAATATCAGCTTACAACTCAAACAGAATAATTTATTTAAAATAATCATAATTAGGGGCGCCTGGGTGGCGCAGTCGGTTGGGCGTCCGACTTCAGCCAGGTCACGATCTCGCGGTCCGGGAGTTCGAGCCCCGCGTCGGGCTCTGGGCTGATGGCTCAGAGCCTGGAGCCTGTTTCCGATTCTGTGTCTCCCTCTCTCTCTCTGCCCCTCCCCCGTTCATGCTCTGTCTCTCTCTGTCCCAAAAATAAATAATCGTTGAAAAAAAAAAATTAAAAAAAAAAATAAAATAATCATAATTATTATTTATTAAACATTTCCCACTGAAATAAAGTTCAAAATGATCATGTAACTTACTATTTACCAATTAATATTCATTTAAAAAGAAGTCACTAAAGCCTACTTTCAAAGAATAATTCATAGTCACAATACCAAAACCTGAATAATTATAGAGACATTGTGATAGTTAAGACTCCAAATTAAATTTTTAAAATATTTGATAACCTAAGTATACATTAGCTTTAAAACACCAAACTTAAGTGCTTAGTTTTAAAAGCAGAAATCTTTCCACCATTGCTACCGTAGTACCGCAAGAGAGTTCAAAGCATCTGATTAAATAAACTGTGCTAAGAAGCAGAATTCAAGATATGAAATTTATCAAATATGAATTAGGAAGTGAGATCCATAATCCTTAGGAGTCCCCAAGACTCTTTTAGAGAGTCTGCAAGGTTAAAACTAGTTCCATAATAGATTTTCATTGTGTTGACATTTGCACTGACAGCACAAAAGCAATGTTCAAAGTGCTAACACCTTAGCACAAATCAATGCAAAGAGACTAACTGTTGTAGGGTCACTGATTTCTTCACTGCCATGCACTTACAGTAAAAGGCCAGTTTCACTTACAGATGTTGTTGATGAAGCATTAAAACTTATTCATCTTAAACCCTGATAGTTTTAACATTTCTGTGTGACAAGATGAGAAGTATGCATAAAGTACATCTTTGTATTGTATTTTAAAATGTGTCAACACTTAGTAGATCTATGTAATTCACTAACTATTTCCCAAATGACTAATGCTTGATGTTAAAAAAAATCATGCATGAGTAAAGAACCATTCAAAGTTCAAGAGAGATGAATGGACTTTAACTTAAGAGAGTACGAAAAGATTATTGATGCGGTTTCAGATTCTACTTTGCAACCAATATTTAAGAAACTACCACTTGTGGGGTGCCTGGATGGCACACTCTGTTAAGTGTCTACTCTTGATATAGGCTCAGGTCATGATCTCATGGTTCATGGGATCGAGCCCTGTGCCAGACTCTGCACAGACAGCACAGAGCCTGCGTGGGATTCTCTCTGTCCCCTTCTCTCTCTGCCACTCCCTCCCGCCCTCCCTCCCTCTCTCTCTCTCAAAATAAATAAATAAACTAAAAAAAAAAAAAACTACCACTTGTCAAATTTTGGTGTGTATCAAAGACTATTTGCATTTATGTATTAAGCTATTAATGTAATCCTCCCTTTTCCGACTATGTATGTGTGTGAGGCCAGATTTTGTTCATATTCTTCAATCGAATCATTACATCATGATTGCAGAAGCAGATGTGAAAATCTGGGTGTCTGTTTGTAAACTAGATATTAAAGAGATTTGCAAAAATTGTAAATAGTAGTTCTCAACCAATGACAATTTTGTCCCTCAAGGGACATTTGGCAAAGTGTCAGCTATTTCTGGTTGTATACAACTGGAGAAAATGCTATCGTCATCTAGTGGGTAGAGGCCAAAGATGCTGCTAAATACCCTACAATGCATAGGACATCCCCCGCAAGAATTATCCAGCCCATAATGTTAATAGTGGCAAGTCTGAAAGACCATGAAGGAAAAGAATACCACTCTTCTCAATACTTTTTTTTGAGGGAAAGGAAGGAGGAACATAGTTATTTTTAATAAAAACGTTATTCCTATTAACCTGTAAAAGGCTTATTATTATAAATTTAAATGATTAAGTATAAACATTTTTAAAATTTCTTCCTTCTATTTTACGATAAATACTGATAGGTTAATCCACATAAAAGTTCTTTGAGGTCTTCAATAATTTTTAACAGTGTAAAGGAGTCTTGAGACCACAAAGTTTGAGAATCACTCAATTAGAACAGTATAACTAACCAAGTACACTGGGGAATATAAGAGGAATTAAAAGGACTCTAAAGGAAAATAAACTCATTTCAAGAGTAAAATAGATGACCAAAGCAAACAAAAAACCCATAAAACCAAATAGCTACAAAGAAAAAATTATGATAGACCTAAAATGTCATTCTCCCCTTATAACCACAACTAAATTAAAAGCACAATTTCTTACCCTGACTATGAGGACTTGCTGGACTAAAAGACGGCTGATACAAATCTTTGGTTGGTGTTGGATAAGCTTCTTTCCCTTGGCGCTGACTCATCTTTCCTGGTGTCAGATGTTGAGATTCGTCACTGTTTGCTACCACAGCTCAAGGAAAGAAGAATAAAAGAATTAGTACTGATGTTACACATTTACATAATTACACAGTTAATAATACGGTATAGAACTATGATTGAAATAGCCTCAATAGTTATATTTGTTTTCCAACTCTGTACTTTAATAAATCTGCATAACTTTTATTTTCTTTTAATTGTAGTTTGCCATCAATCCAAGAGGAACTGATTGCTACGTATGGGTCCAATTACACAAAATTTAGACATTATAAAAATGAAAATACAGTCAACTAAAAATGAAGGGTACTCCAAAGTTTACTATGGCCTTTTCATTGTGCTATTAACTTTTTACATTTGCCAATAAACCAATAAGCAAGAGACAAAGTCATTGCATTAAAAAAAAAAAAAAAA